GTTGAGGGGTTGTTTCTTACCGATTAATAATTCAATTAAAAGACAGTCTATGAATTGTTAAGAGATGAACCTTGTGTGGTAAAAAAAAAAGTCTATTTCTTAATGGTTCTAAAACCTCCTGAATGATTTTGTATCTTAAACCTACCTAAACCATTCAACACCTTAATTTCATTCTGATCAATTACAAAACAATTATATTAAATTTTGTATTATGTCATAAAAGCCTCTTAATCATTTTGATCACTTAATCATCATGCACCAACCATTCAACAACTGTTAAAGAGCCCCCGAATCAAATAAGAACACTTAAAAAGCATGTTTAAAATCCAACTTCCAGTAGCATGTATTAACATAAGTACTTGATTTTAACAAGTTCGAATTGTTAAAAAAGAACCCAATAAATCACAAATTCGCTCTTTAATTTTTAATCGTCAACTAATTTTCCATACACAAAATCTTGAGAAGCCCTTTTGCGATTTCTTCGTTAACTAGAAATCAAAGCTTTGATTATGCTATAGAACAAACCAAAGAAAGCCAACAAATTCGACACTGGATAATGATAATTATGGTATAGAATCTACGAAAAAGTTAAGTCGCAAACCGAGGGACGAATGGTAGCACTACACATGTCTCATCCATTATGAATAATAAACGTGAAATTTTTACTGTGTCCATGGTAATTATCCCCATGATTGTCTGGGACATTTGGTGTTGGGAATCTGGGTTTGTGGTTATACAGTACTTGGATAAGTTTATAGATCACTTTTCAAATACTATATTTCAACTTTAGAACGCCTTTGGTTTTCATGAAATTAGTATGGGGATAATCCAGAAACCACATATACGAATTAAGGCTCTAATTTCTCTCGTGTGTGTGTGTGTGTATTCACCAGATCATATTTGATGCGTTTATGAGAGATCGAAGGTTATGGGCTGTTAAAAACGGTTATAATCGTTAATGGGTAAGATAAGTGAATAGTTACAACTTAATCTGAACTCTAATGGTACAGTGTACATACCATAAGTTTGATTGTCCAGAGTATAACACTGATTGCAAAGAGTACAACTCTAATTGCAAAGAGTCAACTCTGATGGCACTCACGACTAGTGATGGCCGAACGGCTCGGCCCAGGATCGTTAAGGACCGGTTATAAGACCGCCGACCAAGACCGGTTATGCTTTTGGAGGGTTTCAAGGGACAGGCCAAACTGAGACCAGGACCGGTTATGGGCTCGGCCTGGTTTTTAAAAAAGTAACCATTTTTTTGAAAAATATAGCCGTTATATGACCCTTTTTTTGCCTTCTAAACCCTATATACAAGTGTCATGGTTGAAGGATTACTTACCAACTTACAAAACGCAAAACAACACCAAAAAAACATTCACAATTCTAGGTTTCTCACTATATTTTGTGATTTGGACTCGTATTTTTAAAGTGTATATGAGTGACACAATTACAAACTTTATAATGTATTAGAAAAATCTATCATTAAAAAAAATTATATTTTTTTGGTCGGGACCAGGACCGGCTAACCATAATCGGTTATAGGAATGCTTAACCGGGCTTAGTATTTTCGAACGGGACATGTTACGACAGGCACTGTTGAGGCCCGAGATTGGCTTTTGGCCATCACTACTCACGGCAAAGAGCTTTAACTCTGATTTGCAAAGTCCAGAGTTTCAGACTTAGCCAATTTTCTACCAACGTAAAAAACAATTTCAAGAAGTTTTCCGATCTTCCGAAATTCGTACACCACACCAAGGGGCAGAGACCCCGTTTGGGGGGTGTCCCTAGAACACCGCGGGACACGGCCCCCTTGATCCCCGCTTTATGACGATCTAAGATGATAACGATAACACCTTAATCGATCTCAAACAAATCATTATTACACCAAAATGGCTGATGGACCCTAAAATCACCAACACTTGGCACACTCTCGTTTGTCCATCGGCTCGCAACGGAAGTTGCGTTCAGAACCGAAACGTCTATTTTTTTATTTACCAGATGTTTTTGAATGCAATAAAATGATGAACAAACAGAGCTCCATTGATTCATAGATGCATCTCATGACCAAGGAACGACCATAACAAGAACACAGTTGACTATTAATCCCCAAACCCCAATTTGCTCAATCAATTGGTTCAATTTTGCAAATCTCTCTTTCGATTTTATAGGATTTATATCCAAATTGATCGAACATCCTTCCTTTGATCGACGTTTTTTCTGTTTGTTGACGTATGCGAGTTCGTTAAACGCCGTAGAAGCGCGGCGGAGGTAAGCGGAGACAGATTGAGATGCTCCATTGTCGGAATTGACGAATTTGGAGAGGTAACTAGCGGCTCTAGATAGATAGATATATATATATATATATATATATATATATATATATATATTCCCCTGAAACAGTCTTCATCTAAAACTTGAACCCTAATTTGGATTCAATTCTGTTGATATTCGTTTGTCTGTGCAAAACTCACCTTGAGAGCTTAAAATGGCGGCAATGGCGAACGGAAGGTGACCGAAAGAACTGCGAAGTCGCGAAGATGATATATTTTCAGTTCCACCCCAAGAGATCGGGGTAAATTTCATTTTACACCCTTCAAAATATATATATTTCCAGTTCTATTACAATAAGTTTGAATAAATGTCACTATACATCCTTATTAAGTACAATATTTCATATTTAGGTACTTAACTAAATCATAAAAGTCTTTTTAACCAAGAACAACATTGTCAAGCCGTCTTGGAAGGAGTCGGACATCGTTACAGAGTGAGTAGGAGGTCTGAGGTTCGACTATATATACTACTCATCTTACCTTGTCCTTTATACACACAATGTATCACCTCATAATGATCGTTGAAAAACCTCGAAAAACAAGATAACAGATCTTACTCACGTAAGGACATTCTAATCCTTTTGTCTTTTTTTGTTCTAAATCTCTTTAACGTAATGTAATACATAAGTCCAAATCTTATGTAAGTAACCAGTTTTTAAGAGTTTGATGGTTTATTCATTTAAAGAAAAATGTTGAGTGACTTAATCGTTTAAAATGAGAAAGTTCAATTATTTTTCAATTCAAAAAAATAATATTTAGGGACTTAATCATTCAAAATAAAGAAGTTCCTTGTATTTTTCCAAATTTCCCCTTTATTTAAGGAAGAAGCAATGCTCTCTTTGCTGTGAGGGAACCTTTTACTCCTATCTCTCTTACTTAAAATTTGGGGCCGTTTACCTAAACGCTTACCTGATCAGTAAACATTAACACTTGTTGAATAAGATTCTAGTCCATCAAAATAGTATCGTATATAACAATTTATCCAGTAAGTGCTAACCGGGTAAGAGTCGTTACTTTCACTTATCAGGTAAGGGGTATAGGAATGACAATGGGCCGGGTTCGATCTGGTTATTGGTATCCCCGTCTCTAAAAATGGAAACTAAAACCGTCCTCGTAACCGCAAATCCCCGTCCGGGATCTTATCGGGGATGCCCGTCGGGTCCCCATGGTTTCCCCGATTCACGTTGGGGAACATGTTAAGGGTAAATATCCTCTTTTTCCCGTTGATTTCCCCGTTCACCGTTGGTTATACCTGAATCCGAAACCCAAAACGATCTGATTTTTTTTTTTGCAATATGTTAATTTTTACAACTAAAAGTAAATTTCCTTTTTTTTTAAAGATGCAAGTCTAAATGTCTCAAATATAATCAAACCAATTACAATATAAAAGTAAACAAAAATTTAAACATCATACAACTAACATCATGCTCACGAATACAAATAAACTAGACTTTTTCGTAAGCTTTATTTGGGGTGTTAAAGTAAAGTAGATAAAAGTGTTTTAAGTTTTAATGTTAGTATTTTCTTTCAATGATATTATATATGTACATATATATGTAGACTTGGAATCACGTGAGACCAGCTTGTTTTCGTGAGACCCGTGAAACCAGCTTTTTACACTTAAAACTTCACAGCAAAATGTTGTGAACGTAACCTTCACAGTGTTTTTGCTGTAAAGATTTGACTTTTTTAAACCTGTGTTTTTGTTGTGAAGTTTCAAGTGTAAAAATGTGGTCTCACGTGAACTCAATCCTATATATGTATATAAAATTAAAATTAATATATACACACATAGTGGGCCAGGCCGGGCCGGTGATCACCATCCCTGTTAAAATCCCCGTATATGTCCCCGATCCCGCTCCGTCCCTGAAAAGATGTCCCCCAACCCAACCCAAGGTTTCGGATTTCGGTTTTCACCACGGGTTTCGGGGTTTTTTACCTACTAAAGGGGTCGTTTAACCAAACACTTATCCGGTAAGCGCTTATCGGTAAGATTAACACATCACTAACCTTACCGGGTAAGATTATAGTCCATAAAAATGACACTGTATGCAACAATTTACCTGGTAAGCGTTAACCAGGTAAGAATTTTCACCTTCAGTTACTGGGTAAAACTCTTAGTTCTTACCATCGCTCTTACCAGGTAAGATTCTCAGTCCTTGTCATGTTCACCCGGTAAGGTAATGTGACTTGTTAAATGCTTATTGGGTGGTAAACGTTTGGTAAACCACCCATAAAACTAAGTTTTTGTCAACACTCTTACAAAATAAGATTCTCGGTCATTGTCATGTCCATCCAGTAAGGTAAGCCCGGTAAGCGTTTACCGGATAAGCATATGATAAACGGTCCCTAAGTGTGAGTTTCGATACTCGACTCTTTGTTTGTATTGTGCAATATTTTTGACAACTGTAAATCTTCCAATTATGACTTCAACTTTTTAAAACATTTTTCAAACATGCACTTTTATGTCATTTAAATTGTTATGCAGCTTATAAGCTAACGTTTCTTATGCATGACCATTTTATCAACTAACTACTAAATTATAACAGAAGTTATTAGCAACATACAACTTTAAACCCTAATTAAAATGATCAACTATTCTTGACCTAGAGCTAAAAACACATGAATCAAAACAAGAAAATATAATCAATTTATTTGTGTAATAACAAGGACAATTAAGTAATTTCAGTGGACAACTGAAGCTATTTGTAGATCAAGTGTTCACTAGCATCTTTTGAAGTACACATCTTGCTGTTTATTAGGATCATACTAAAATCAACCAAAAACAAATAACACAATGACACAAATCATTAAATAAAAGAACTCATATGGCTAGATCTACGTGCATCCTATCCCTCCCGGACCCGACCCGGACCTGGACCCCACTCGTTCAAGGGACACATACTGTACTGGTACGTTTGATTTGGTTTAATTTATGCAAATATAAGAACGTACCTCTAACGTATGTACATTTCGCTCGGGTTCATAAAGCTTCTTAATTCGACACACGGTTTGAGGGATAAATCAGCTTGGGTAGTCGCAAACGGTTATCTGCAACTGGGGCTCGACCACCGGTTGCCTAACGAAAGCCCTCCTCCACCAAATCTCAAACGCTCTTTGGATATTTGGACAATCATCCCCTTTTTCAAGAAACCGATCAAACCAACTCATCAAGAAAGCTTGCTGCTGCAACAATGGCAGCGTAAGAATGATCTGACTTATCCCATCTTCGATCAATCTCCGGTCACCATTTCTTGAACCCCTTTTCATCCATCCAAAATCATCGTATAAAGCTTCCAACCATGTTGAAAGAAGAGATACCCGTGTCTCTTTTGGCACCAAAATGTTCCCTCTACCGATCGCGATACACAATTGTGCTGTAATCCGGCTAACTTTATGCCTAAACATTATCGGAACTTTAGAGTGGAGTATTGCAAGATCCTTTTGATCCGACCATAACTTCACGAATTCTTCACAAATCCGTTTTTCGATCAAGATATCAACAACCCATTCAAGATTATCAGCTTCTCGAGCTATTTCGGCCATCATTCCTTTGTTTTCATCCGTGGATGTTGCCTCAGATAAGCAAAGGACAAGGGAAGTAAGACATTTGTGGGAAACGGTATAAAGTGTTTCTTTCGAGATTTCAAGTTTATGGTAGTCATAACCATGATCGGATTCGGATGCGTCTTCTTTAAGTAATCGAGAGATTAGAGTTTTCATTTCTCGACGGGCTTTTTCATCTTTCGCCTGTAAAACTCCAGTGAGTAACCTCAAGAAAATGTCGTCTATTCTTGAAGAAGTCGATGGATCCAAGGCCACTCGTTGTAGAACGTCACAATCGTTAACGAGATGAAGTTCGTTAAGATGAGAGATCACGCTCTCTTCTTCTTCTTCGGACCAAGGGACGGCTTCTAAATACTCTAAACAAGACGATATCCCATCGTCAAACTTCAATGCATCACAAACCTGCAATTCGAGGCGGTTTCTTGAGGTTTAAACGTAGAAACATCCTTCAGAAACTGGTTTGACTTTTGGGGTCAAATAGATCATGTTTAGAATCTAAATTTGCAAGAAATTCCTGTGTTCTATTTGAAAATTATTATCGTTATTGCTGTTAGTATATTGAAGAAGCCTGGCATTGTACAATTTTGCACCAAAATTAGATGAATCTCTTGTCAATTTGAATAAAATAATTGCCCTTATGATTGGGATCATCATCTCCAGAAGAAATTTGAATAAAAGAGAAATGAAATTGGGGGAAGATTATACAAAACCCACGAAAATTGGGAAAATTCAGAAGAACATAAGAAAGAAATCCATACCTTGAGCAATCCTAAGATCTTAGAAACACCTTCACCCATCTTCATCTTCTTGGGATCATCACAGTACATGAGAACTAGGGTTTCCAGATAAACTTCAACATCATCACACTCGCAAATCTCCACTGAATGATGTGAGCCACTCCTCCGCCCCAATTTCTCCTTGAAGAACTGGCTCCGACTGGCCAAAACCTCCCGGTGTACATCCATGGACACACTGAAACCATCACGCCCCGTGATTGTGAGCTTCACATCCCCAATCCCTAATCCCCAATCTGCAGGATTCCGAAACGGAGCTCCAGATAAAACCCTAGCCACCCGTCCTTCGATCCGCATTTTCTGTACGGAATGTCTGGAGTCCCGGGTGTGTTCATCGGTCATCATCTCAAAGAGGGTTGGGCTAGGGGTGGATCGGATCGGGCTTTGAAGAGGTCGAATCGGGTCGGAGGGAGAAGAAGATGGTGGAGGAGAGAGAAAGAAGTCAGAGATGAAGCCTTGTTTTAACATTGTGGAGACTTGTTGCTTGGATTTGTTGTAGGCTTGTGTGTTGTTGAGGTCTGATGACGCCATTGAAGCACTAGCTTGCTATTCCTTGCTACTGTATATGAAAGAGAGATGGAAGGAATCCAAGGGAAGGATCTCACACCAATTCTGGGTGTGTGTGCCTTTTCGAGAAGGGAGGGTGGGTGGGTGGGTGGGTGGGGGATGGACCATGAACGCTGTTATATGTATTTTTTACGTAAAAAGAAGTTGATGATGATATTATTATTATTATTTCTTTTCAATGTTCCATGAAATAAATACTTGCACTTTAAGTCTAAGTCACATCTTATCAAAAATTAATAATTTATCAAAGTATTTCTATCGTTAACTTTTAACTTTTGATTTGCTCTTTTTTTTACTTTCTTTTATTTCTTAATGAAATTTATTTTTCAAAATTTGAATAATAAACAAAATGAAATCCTAGAAATTTCTTTAGTGAGAAGGATGAAGAAGACTTTAAAAGATATGTAGAAATTATATTCATTAAAAGATGTGATTTGTTATACATTTTTTTTCAATATCGTTGGGTTTGTTGTTATCATAGGATATGATTTTGTTCACGATTGGATCATATAAATTCGAATAAAATTTTGATATTTTGTGATCACAAGATATGATAACTTTTTTTTTTCGAATTTAAGCTACATTAGTCAAAGGGCCTTCGGCCTAGCGGTATCGTAGCCCTTGGCTTCCTAGGAGATCAAGGGTTCAAACCTCACCAAATGTGAGGAGGGTGTGCGAGTTTATTTGTTGCATTTGCCGTATATAAATATTATATACTTAAAAAAAAGGATAATTATTTATACGTGATTGATAATTTCGTTAAATTTTGACTACTTTTCAATTGACAGAAATCATTTAATGGGGAATGAAGAAATGAGAGTTGAAGAAACTTAAAAGATTTAAAAAATGTATGTAAAAATTATATTATTTAGAAAATATGATTTGTTATTACATATTTCTTCTTTTCAATATTGTTGGATTTGTTGTTATCGTGGGACATGATTGTGTATACGATTGGAAATTTGATAAACTTTTGATATTTTGTGATTACAAAGTATGATAAAAAAAATCGAATTTAAACTACGTTGACAATAATTGTTTATACATGATTGATAATCATCAATCTTTTATATATATATATATATATATATAATGAGAACGCGAGAACCCTTTTACCATAAACAATCACATGTGATACTATTGTTTTAATATATATGATACTAAATCAGAGACGTGAACGACTTTTAACGCAATCTAGGTTGTAGGCCAAGTCATCTTGACACCACTAAGCCCCTCACATGTACAATCACATGTGATAAATGTGTTATTAATGTAATACTATAATTCATCAAGACTATCACATGTGATATTAAATCATAGACACAGACGATCTTTTATGCGACCTAAGTCGCAAGGCACGACATCCATATACCACTAAGTCCCCTCAAGTGTATTATCACATGTGATATGGATGTTCTTATGTTCTTGTAAAATGGAAGTGTCCTTGTTTGAACCTTCACCTATATATGTATTATCAGGGTTGACAATTGGTCTTACGGGTCTTACGAAAAGCCTTTGGTCTCACTTTTTCACCCCTTCATCTCCTCACATACACTCACCCCCTCACATACACTCACTCTCTCACAACCATTTTTTTAAAGTTATAATTTTAAATTTACACTTTATACCCTTATAATTAGTTAATTAATTTACTTTACGTCCTTTACTTTTAAATGTTTCATTTTAAATTTTTATCAAATTAACATACATAATCGTATATCAATTAAAACATGTTTAAAAAATA